GCTGAGAGGAGAGCCCATTGCACGCACATTCATGTCCAGGATATTATAGTAAATTGCAGCTTATATGTGATGGGTGTCATAAATTTCATTGCAGGCTTTAACTAAAGTCACCCTCACAAAATGGACAATGGGCTTAAAAACATCCCAGTAAAGAAACTGGTGATTGAAGGTTCTAGTAAAATTCCAAACGATAACGAGAAAGCGTCATGGCTGACCTACTTCCTTTCACTTTAAAAAGTAACAACAAAGACAAAACAATGAGTTTCAAGACGTTGCCTGAAAAATAATTCCAACTGATATAAGTGATTCTTTGAAACATGGATTGATTTGCATTCTATTGTTAATTTGCATTCATATGTTAACAATTCACCTTTAACAAAAATATATACTATGTGTCAAATTATTAACTAACTAGAGGCCCAGTGAGTGAAATCATGCGAGACCCAGACCTACCACGCCATGAGAGCCATCAATGCACCTCCTGGTGACCAGTCATTTGGTCATTGCAGCGTTACGGCATTACTGTCACTGGCTTTTTATAATATAGCTGGTATTAAGAATTCATCGTGAGTGTGAACATGTAAAATTTTTTATTTCATATTTATCCTATCCTTTACATTTCTCTTTGGGAGTAACTTTCCAATATTTATAATGAACATGCATAAAATTAATAAAGAGTATTTGTATTGAAAGTGGAGTTCAAGGGTTATCCCCAACAATCCTGGGCAGTGAAGCAACAGGAGGTAATGGCAGAAGGACTGGTCTTGGAACAGATTATGTTTCAAGTAAACATATTTGTAAGAACAAATATGTTTGCAATTCACATCTATAGGCCATGGGTTGGCTGGAGGAATAGGAGATGGTTGTCTACAAGGAGCATTTAGGATGTGGACTTAACTAGACTTCACAGCAAAGTGGATAATAGGACAAGATCAGGAAACAATAAAAAGTGACTCTAGGGTTTGATAGTGGAACGACATTCCAGAGGGAGGCGTGGTGTGCCAGTGCATGTCTACAGGAGGTGGCTTTGGGTGCTGAGCATGAGGCGGGCTGTGGATGGACAGCAGTGCTCGGTGGTCTCTTACCATGACCTACAGGTTCTCTGTCCCAGAATCAGCCACCCACAGCCCAGGCTACAAAGAACTGAAATAGAAGTTGGTGTTGTAAGTTCTTCCCCTGTCGTTGGTGAGGGTGACAGGCTGTCCGGCCTGCGAGGAAGTGGCTATGAACCAGCCGGGGCAGGCGACAGACTGGAAGGTGGAGGTGGAGCCCTCTATGCCACGCAGAAAGAGAAAGGACTTCTGCGCCTTCTTCTCCTCGTACAGTTTCATTAAGCTTTCCTTCTAGGAGCAGAAAGAGGCCTATCAGAGAGGATTACTGGGAGAAGGGAGCTCAACTAACTCAGCCTCAGGAGTGACTGCTTTCCCCACAAGGAGGAGCATGGCTGATGAGAGGAGGATGCCAGGTGTCAGCACAGGCAACGCTTCGGTTCCCAATAGCTTGGCTGCCCCTGAGATCCCACAAAACGAGGCACTTCTGATTCTTTGCGAAAACACCATCTTCCCCAGAACAGAGTGGGGCTCATTGTGTCATGGGTGCTCCTGCTAGGCACCCATCCACAAGTTCAGATCAGTCTCACAAGATTCCCAGTCTCCAGTGGGTTTGCACATTGCAGCGTCTGTCACAGCAGAAGGATGAGCTTCATCACCGTAAACACTCTTTTCAGTGCAGGCACCACAGACATGAAATCTGTAGCATCCAGGTAAGTGTGCACCCATTCCAAAGGGAGCAGGTATTCGCTTGGGGACTATCTAAGTCAAGTTTCCTTACAATGAATAATCCAGGGTTGAAAAATGTTATTTTTACTCAGTAATATATTAAATTAAATTAAAAGTCACAGTACTTCTCTCATTAGCTGCACAACCACTCACCTTAAGCTGCAAAGTAGGCCGGCCCTCAATTTCTGCACAGAACAGACAGAGATCTTCCTTGACTCCCAGGTATATCGGACTGCCTTTTTCACTAGAGATGTCCGGGTCTGTGCATGGCACTGAGAAAACAGTAGCTGGAAATAGGGAGATGGAGACAGGCATCAGCTCCAGGAGGCAGCAAGGCCGGTCCTGCCAACACTCTGTTGCTCCTCCCAGCCCCATGCAGACCAGCCAGGTCTGCCCAGAAGGCTCCCCCAATTAGCCAGGGGGTAGAACTGCTCCATCAGAGATGGGTGGTGGAAACCCATTTCCTTTTTCCTTCCTTCCTATCAGAGCTCAGTTTCCCCAAAGTAAAGATAAAATTCGCCACCACACTTGCAGCTAACATAAGTTGTAGCACATGAGCTCTAATTGGAAGTGTACTGTGGGATTTCCAAGAATGTCCTTTAAGGAGAGCTCACTCAGCTGGAAGGAGCACCTTTTTTTGTTAATCCTCACCTGAGGGTATTTTCACATTGATTTTTAGAGAGTGTGGAAGGAGGAGAGACACAGAGGCAGAAACATCAATATGAGAGAGACACATAGATTGTGTGCCTCCCACACATGCCCTGACCAAGGCGGGAGATCGAGCCTGCAACTGAGGTACATGCCCTTGACCTGAATGGCACCTGGAACCCTTCAGTGAGTGCATGAACTCTCTATCCACTGAGCCAAACGGGCTAGGACTGAGCTCCTTCTATATATCCCGTGGCTTCCTTCACTTAGATGACGTTTGGCATGACCTTGAGATTCACAAGGCACCATGGGCTCATCACACCTGCCTCAGCCGCCCGCTCAGGTTTCTCTCACCTGATGTAAGCATGAGCAGCAGGGAAAATGGAGACAGGTTGTGTAGTCCACGCTTCCATGGAATTTGGCTGTGGTTGGCATATAGCATGGTGCATTGTATATAGGAAAACAACGACGGTAGGAATGAAATGTGGGCATCAAGAAGAGCTTTTTAGTATTAAGCTTGTAAATATTATATCAGAGCATTTTGTCAGTGACAGAAAAGACCCAATAGATAGTCCAAGGTGGGATATGCAGGGAACAGAGGGATGAGATCAAACACTGAATCCTAGGGGGCGGGAAAGAGCTGAGTTGCACTGACTTCTTCCCACAGCTTCATTGAGGCATGGTTGACCCTTTATATGAGGAAGACATATTCTCCTTTTACCAGAGGAGAGGACACCAAGCTAGAAGAGTGTGCACTTTGGTGGTGGAGGTGAAGGAATTTAATCTGAGGACATGGGTAGCAATGGATGAAATTTAAGGGAGAGAAGCTCTGAGGAAAAGGTTGGCTGCTGACTGAATGGACAACCCCTTCTTGTTGAAGACATTTTCTTTGGACAAAGAGAACTGCCCATTCCTCACTCCTCATTTCTAGGTACAGGGTTTCCTTTGCGGGAGGGAACCGCCTTGTCCTACTTGCCCTCCTGTGGACACTGAGCTGGTGCCAGAAGTAGGAAAGGCCACAGCCAAGCTCATACAGGTCAGCCCCATCCCCTGTGGAGCTGGTATCCCTTTAAGAGGCAAACATTGTCACTCACCATGTTTGACATTGTTGTCAGAAGGAACTGCGATTAAAGACTCTCCCTCCAGCTCCCACACCATCTGTAGAGGATCACGAATACTAAAGGTTCCTGGATGTCCCGCCTCTGCCAGGTGTCGGCGGGGGGGGGGGGGGGGGGGGGTCCTCCCCCATGCTGCTCCTGGCCCCCACCCCAGGCCACCAAGGACTTGGGGCATCCTGTAATACAGTGGTTTCCCCACCCTCCCCTTCCTATTCACTGTTTTACTTCCCTCGATTTCAGTTGCCCACAGTCAACTGTGGTCCAAAAATATTAAAAGGAAAATTGCAGAAATAAATAATTCATAAGTTTTAAAATGCATACCGTTCTAAAGTTGTGTTGGGACCTCACATCACCCACTCCATCCCACCTGGGATTTGAATTGTCCCTTTGTCCAGCGTGTCCTCACTGTATATAGTCCCCACTCAGGAATCATTTGATAACCATCTGAGTTATCAGATCTACTCTTGTGGTATCACAGTGCTTGTGTTCCAGTCACCCTTATTTTACTTAATAATGACCTCAAGGCATAAGAGTAGTGATGCTGGCAACTCAAATGTGTCAAAGAGTAGCTGTAAAGTGCTGATGTGATGTGTAGGAAACAACATAATATATGTATATGGGGTTTGGTACTATCTGTGGGTTCAGGCTTCTGCTGAGGATCTCGAAACATACCTTCCACAGATTGGGGTTGGGGGGGAGAGCGACTGTACTGGTGATGAATTTCTAGGGTAGATTTACTGTTCTAAGAGTGGCTTTCAGGAGAAAGGGAGGGGACCCAAGACAGGGGCTGTTTTCTGGATCAAACTGTCTGAAATCATGGTCCCCAAAGATTTGCAAAGGGTATTAGTAACTTGTCCTTCTCTGATTGACAGTCTCTGAGTACTAAAAAAATTTAACAAAAAATGTTAAAATTGGTCATCTGTATGTTGTATGTTTTTTTCTTTGCCCTCTTTATCAAAATAAGTAAACAATTCTAAACACACATAAGATGAGAACTAAATGCTCTGAGATTTTCAAGTGCAGCTTTCATGATGTGAGTATTTCAGCAAATACATCTGTAGCTGAGCAAATGAGAGGACCTGGTGCCTTATTGTCCTTGGGGAGGCAGGATGGAGACCGCCATGCTGGTTTATAATTTGCCACTTACTTAGTTGGGTGTCCGCCTTGTCTTTAGGTTTTCTGTGAAGAACATAAGGCAGATCAGATGGTGGCGAGGAGGTTGTCATCATCTGGTGTTGAGAAGGAAGGAGGGAAGAAAAACACATTATTCATTGCCCTGCCCTTCCCCTGGAAATGGATGGAAAAATTGTTTGGAGGAAGCTGCCCTGAGATCCTGTCCCAGCTGCACATGTGAGACTGAGGATGGGAAGAGCATGTTCCCAGGCCAGACAACCCCAAGTGGAAGCTCCCACCTCTGTCGGGACTCTTTGGTCCTGGCTCTCCAGGCAGTGACGGCCCTGGGGTACTCTCTACCCACCACATCTGGGGTTGCTAGGAGGTTCCAGAGTACCTCCAGGCACCTTCTAGGATGAGTTTCTGGGTTTAGAAGGGTGTGTTCATCTCTGTTTAGCCCTGCACAGCTGGCAAGTCATCAGCTCTCCTGACTTCAAGTCTGAGCATCCTAAGTAACTGGCAGCAAGCCTGTCTCTCTGCCCCCAGCTCCCCTGTTCCCCACCCAAACAGGCATCTCTAAGGACCCTGCTGTGGACATCCATAGGCTCCAGGCCACAGGACACATATCTCTGGGCTTCTGCTCCGGGCAGCAGTCAGCTCCCTGAGAAGACCACAGACTCCCCACAGCGAGAAGCAGTTGTTCACCACCCTCCCTACCTCAGGACCCCCGGTGCCTGATTCTACAGTTATCCCTAGAGAGGGAGTAGGTAGCCACCCACACATGGAAGCAGCCCAGCTCCTCTGAGGCTCTGAGCCTTCGACCCCGGGTCCCTCAGCCTCAGAGGCTCCTCAAGGCTAGACACAGCTCCCTGAGAGAGCTGCCCACCACGTGGCTTCTGAGCAGCAGAAGTTACCTTTGCTCAAAGAGATGCTCTTGTCCCTGGGCCAACACAACCTTAGGCTCCACCGCATGCAAGGGCTCCTTTAGAAAACTGATCAGGAACTCTGGCCTTCTAATGAGCTTTTAAGGTCTGGGTCATTTCCTGGTCTGGGTGTGCCACATTGTCAAAAAGGCTGGACTGACACAGAGGTCCCGTGAGTGTCTCTGGATGACTGGGAGGCAACAAGGTGTGGCCGTTCTGGGGTCCCAGAGAGACAAAAGCAGGTCAAAAGCCAGGAAACAATGGTGAAGAAACACGGATGAGGCCAGTGCTTTGTAATCAAAAATTCCTTGGGACTGCCTTGGTGACAGAGGCGTGACTGTCACTGACTGAGCCACACCTCGTTCACACCTTTCGGGAGTTTTACACAAGCAATATCCAGAGCTTATTCCGTATTGATAAGCTAAGGGAAGTACCTGATTAATCATTTAATCCTCACAACAACCCTTGAGTGGCCATTAATTTTTACTTCTTATGCAAAAAACAGAGACCCTAAGAGATGACAAGACTTACCCAAAATCACATCATCAAGTTACAAGCCAGATGTCTCTGTTCTTAACCACTGTGTGATGTTTCCAGCAGCGGAGACGTGTGCCTGTGGCCCATGGTGGGTGCAGAAACCTGCATTATGTCCAACGCAGGGGACTGACTCGTGGACCGGCAGGACCTGGGAGACCTGTGGCTTCTCAGCTCTGACTGGGATCAGACTCGACCTCAGCAATGGCATGGAAGGGAATCATTACCCTTGAAGCCCAATATTGTCGGTCAGCCCTAAATGTTAAAAAATCCTACTCATTCTCTGCCAAAATGTGCCTCCATGTAAACTCACAACCATGGGCTTCAGTTCTGTTCTCTGAAATCCACTGTTAACTCTCTCCCCAGAGTATTGCCATAGAACCTCCCTGGTCTCCCTGCCTCTGCTCTCACCCGAGGAGTGAAATGTCCACCAGCCAACATCAGGGTCAAAGGTGTAGTGTGGTCATAGCACTCCCCTGTCAGAACTCTCCAATGGCTTCATCACACCCAGAGTAGTAACTGAATCAATCCCTCAGCATGGCCCCCCTCTGCCCCTGCCCCTGCCCCTGCCCCTGCCCCTTTGAC